GGAACTACCTCCTCAACGCGAGGAAGTTGATGCAGCAATGGTTTACCGCGAATCCAAATAAGCCCACACAGATGATCACGGATATGGGTAATACTATTGTGCTGCCTCCCTCGATGGCAAATGAAATTCGCAACCATAGTGACTTGAGCTTCACCGCGTTCTCTCAAGAGGTTAAGAAATCCGTCCCTGAATGCGAATTGTATGACAGAAGACGAAGAGATACTGACAACTCCATGGCCCAGTTCTTCCAAACGAAGTATCCTGGCTTCGATGCATTCGCAGAGGGAGGACATGACAGCATTACACTAGTCGTCATCAACAAAGACCTAACCAAGCAGCTAGGTACGGGCAATAATCTCGGATCGTTCTTGTCTTCACAACATTCCATGACGCTAACAATGTAATAATAGCAAAGGTCACCGAGCCTTTAGCTGAAGAGGCCTCCCTGGCCCTCCTGAAGATATTCACAGCAGAGAAAGGTACAAAGAAGCAAGACGTGCAAACAAGATAGAGATTCCCTGACTTTGACTAGAGTGGCACTCTATTCCCATGCGCGCAACACTACTCCACTTCATCGCCCGCATCTCTTCCCGCGTCTTCCTTGGCACCGAACTCTGCCGAAACGAAGCTTGGCTCGAAATCACCAAGAACTACACCCTTAATGGCTTTACTGCCGGTGACCGGCTTCGCGAATACCCTCCATTCCTCCGACCCATAGTCCACTGGTTTCTCCCCGGATGCCAGGAAGCGCGGAGACAGATCAAGGCAGCCGCCAAGATCATTCAGCCCATCATTGACGAGCGGAAGGTCCTCAAGGCCAAGGCGGTCGCCGAGGGCAGACCGGAGCCTGTGTACCAAGACGCCATCGAATGGTTCGAGCAGGCTTCCAAGTCCAAAGGTACTGCGTATGACCCTGCTTTGAGCCAGCTGTTCCTGTCGACGGTCGCCATTCATACAACTACCGATCTTTTGGGCCAGGTTCTGGTTGATCTGGCAAAGCATCCCGAGATCATTGAGGAACTTTGCAAGGAGGTTCGGACTGTGCTCCAAGAGGGTGGTTGGAAGAAGACGTCTCTCTACAACATGAAGCTGCTTGACAGCGTTGTCAAGGAAAGTCAGCGCATCAAGCCCCTGCAGCTTGGTAAGTGCAAACGTCATAGCATCCGGCCTCTGTTACTTTGATGTACGGTCTAACACATCCTGTCTTTGCAGCTAGCATGCAACGTATCGCTATCAAGGATGTGACTCTTTCTGACGGAACCTTCATCCCCAAGGGAGCGAACACGGCCGTGTCTTCCCACTCTCAGTGGAATGCCGCGGTGTACCCGGAGCCGGAAAAGTGGGACGCGTACCGTTTCCTCCGGATGCGAGAGGAGCCCGGCAAGGAAAATGTGTCGCAGCTAGTAAGCACTCTGCCGGAGCACCTCGGCTTCGGCCACGGCAAACATGCTTGTCCCGGTCGCTTCTTCGCTGCCAACGAGATCAAGATCGCTCTCGTGCATCTCCTACTCCAGTACGAGTGGAAACTTCCCGTCGGGGCCGATACCTCGATCACGGACTACGGCGTCAATCCGTTGCTGAATCCCGGCTTGGAATTGGAGATTCGGAGGCGGGCGGATGAGGTTGACTTGACGTGCTGAGCGATAGAATACCCAGCATCAGTAATCAGGTGCGGTACTGTTACTTGGGAGGGAACTTGGGACTGCATAGGAGGACGTAGAGTGACTAGATGATATTACAGAGGGGGGCTTGCTATGATGTTCAATAATCGGGGGGGGGGGGGGGGGTTCACTCGTCTCGCGGTTCTCTAGATTTGCAAACGCCTCAAGATCGGCCTGACTAGTGGGTAGTTGCATGGACCTCAAAGGTTCTCGATAATTTGGAAGACATGTTTTCGCTTAATTGGCTATGTGTCGAACAAAGACGTCATCTTGAATACTCGGCACCATTTGGAGGCACTTCTTGAGATGCGGGGTCGCGGCGGACTCGAAATTCAAGTCGGCTATATATCTCCGCACCTATATGTAGCCTGCATCAGCCGCATCCCCATCAATATCGTATGGACTAGAAATTCCATTTACATTGCAAGGAAGTTGCTGTTCCAAAAATCAAAATCATGGCTCAAGATCTGCCTTTTAAGGTATGTTTTCCAGTTTTCAAATTTGTCGCCTTCTCTGCTAACATCATTAGCTCGCCAATCCCGATCTTCTCAAGACGGATGCTTACGTCCACGGTTCCTGGGTGGAGGCATCCTCAAAAAAGAGATTTGAAATCGAGGACCCGGGAACTGGGAAAGTCTTTGCCTCAAGTCCAGACTTTGACCGTTCCGATGTCGACGCAGTGGTGAAATCATCCCATGAAGCTTTCCAGACCTTCCGCTACGAGAACCCGAGGTCTCGGGCCAAGAAGCTATTAGAGTGGGACCGCCTCATTCGCGAGAATCGAGATGACATTGCCCAAGTTCTCACCCACGAGTCTGGCAAGCCTCTCGCAGAAGCTCAAGGCGAGCTTGACTATGCGCTGGGTTTCACGTGGTGGTTCGCTGGAGAGGCCGAGCGCATCCGAGGAAACATCTCGACGCCGTCTGCACCTAATCGGAGAGTCGTAGTCGTGAAGCAGCCAATTGGTGTAGCTGTCGCTCTGGTGCCCTGGAATTTTCCTATTGCGTGAGTACTCAAATTCAATCCATGACCGTTGAGATGCAGTCCTGACAACGTGTTAGAATGATTTTACGCAAAGCCGGCGCTGCATTGGCAGCAGGTTGCACCATGATTGCGAAGCCGTCACCGGAGACACCATTGACGTGCCTCATTCTCGCACACCTAGCCACAAAGGCAGGATTCGGGTCGGGTGTTTTCAACGTCATCACAACGTCTCTCGACAACACCCCTGAAGTAGCAGAGGCTCTTTGCAAACATCCTCTGACGAAGAAGGTCTCCTTCACGGGCTCGACCAACATTGGCAGTCTGATCGCCAAACATTGCGCCGAGGGCCTCAAGAAGCTGACCCTGGAACTCGGAGGAAACTGCCCCTTCATCATCTTCGAAGACTGCAACCAAGACCAAGCTCTGGAACAATTGCTTGCACTAAAGTGGCGTCACGCAGGCCAAGCTTGCATCACAGCCAATCGCGTCTACGTCCAAGACGGGATCTACGAGGAATTCCTGGAGAAGCTAGTCGAACGAACCAAGAAGATCAAGATGGGCCACGGAACCAAGTCGGATACGACCATGGGACCCCTGACGACACCCCGCGCCATCCCCAAAGCCCAGGCTCACGTCAAAGATGCAGTAGAGGCAGGTGCAAAAGTCGTACACGGCGGCCGAAAGGGAACCGAAGTCGGTCTTGAGGCTGGATACTTCCACGAGCCGACTATCTTGCGCGATATGAAGCAGTCTATGCTTCTTAGTCGCGAGGAGACCTTTGCACCCGTTTTGGGTGTGTACAGGTTCAAGACCGAGGACGAGGCGGTGCAGTGGGCCAACGATACGAGCATGGGTCTGGCCAGTTACTTCTTCACCAAGAATATCGACCGCACGTGGCGGTTGATGGAGAACTTGGATGCTGGAATGATCGGGATGAACACTGGCAACTCGTCGGCGGCCGAGTCTCCATTCGGCGGTATGAAGCAATCTGGCTACGGAAAGGAGTCTGGAAAGGACGTGGCGATTGAGGAGTACCTCGTCTCGAAGACTGTGACTATGACTCTGGAGGATCATTACTGACGAAGGAATACTGCGGGTGCTTTAAACCATTCTATGTAGCGATGCCCATCCTCTTTGTACAGTATACCAATTATGTTCGGTGGGCAATAAGTACAGTCGAAGTATCCAAATTTCCCAAGAAGCCCAAGGAAGGGTTCAGCTTGGCCGCCTAACCAGACGAAGCCAATGTCATGTCCGGCTTGTTCCTCCACATTGCGGATCGGCGCCTGGTACTACTTCGAAGCCAGTCGGAGCTACAAAGTTTCCGCACCTCCCATTATCGCAAACGCCTTGTTGTACGGTGTTGCCGCACGCGCGTCCGTTGGCTGCGATCTGTTGTGGAGACGGCTGATTGCGTTTCGCAAAGTCGCTGAACTCGCGGGGAATCAATGTGATGGCGAGAGCTTCGCCTCGTTTGCCTCGTGGTCTCGGTGCTGATTTGTTGCTTTAGCTTGACCGAAGAGTAGTGCATCTGTTGATTTGGAGCTCACCTGCAAGAGCGCTTTCTGACACCAACAATAATACGAATGCAATGTCGGTAAAACGCATCATGCACTCGGAAGGAGGAAGACCTGGATAAATGGGTGCAAGTAAGACCTCGGAACCAGCAAATTGTATGCAACGATTGTTTGTCTTCTTCTTGGCTCAAGAAAACTAACTACGACTCCTCAAGAGTTGCGGTTTATGAGCAAAGTTGAGGTTGCGCACGCAGCGACCCCAAGGGTCGTCTTGGGTAGCAATCTGGCTGATGTGTACGATTGACGTCGCCACGATACATGATACTTGTTTTATGTCGGAGCCCGTGCCGTGAGACGATGACAATTTGCGGGTCTTTCGGATCTGCGTAGTACTTGCGAGCCGTTAATCATGCAAAAAAGGCGTGAAGCCTGGTCCCAGTCTATCATCCGACAAATCTCATACAATGCTGGTTGGGGTACCCTGGGCCGCATGATGGGGTGATCTTCGGACCGTTCCTCCACAACATGCATTCTTCGATGTTCTAAGAGAATACGAAGACTGAAGTGACATTACGGAAGGACTTAAGGCTGATGATTTTATATGCGCAATACTTGTTGATGTCACATTAGGCCTTCTCGCGCAGTGTCGCGCCGTTGTAATTGGTGAGACTGAAGCCACGGCTACTAGACCTAAGTCAGATATTGCGGTTCAAGTAAGAGCACGCATAGGTATCGAGAAGAATGAGGTGTCATGTTCAAGTTTCGCAACAGCTGACTAGTAGCAAGGGCACATGGGGCAGAAGCTTTTGAAGTGACTTGAAATAGACCATATAAGCTTTTAAACATTCGGCAAATTTCCGTAGAATAAGCCTGAAAGGTGCTGCCAAAAGTCGTATCCTTCCGCCATCCCGCTGTCCAGTAAAAAGGCTGGGTCCATCATCATCGGCAGAGTATCAGCAGCATCAGTCGAACCGATCTTGGATAGATACCAGCTCCCGATTCCCGAAGAGTTTCCGGCGTAAGCTGCCACCATCCGCTGACGACTGCTCAAAATCGTGCTGCTATAGCTGGTGGCGCGAGGTATAGTACTGCATCGGTCGCTCAATATTTGAAGCGTTTCGGCCAAGTCTAAATTTGCCCTCGCTGTTTCCAGGTCCCAATCGTGGTCCTCCACACTTAGAAGTCCAGCTGCCTTAATTCTGGCTAGTGCCAGATGAAGAATTGACACGAACGTGAGAGTAGGGTATGGTTCTAGACTCAGAGACAGGAAAGCATTTAAGAGCTCCTGAGTGCTTGTGAATCAGCGCCACATGATGCGAGATCTGAAGTGGGCTGTTTTGAATCCGTAATTTCCGTTCGCATGTATGGCAGGTTCGAACAGCCGGATGCGTATGGCCATGCAATGGTCGCGCAAAAGGTCTATCATAGGTTGTCAGCGGCATCCAAGTCACGCTTAAGACAGAAACGAGGCATACTGTTTGAACGAAGATGGGTTGGCAAGAAATCAGCGAATGATTCAAGCTCTTTCTGGACGTTGGCAATAATCATGGCATGAAGCCCAAACGGTCTACCAACCTGAGAGTCGTTCTTTTCCCCGAAAATATCATCGACTTGAGAGCAATTTTTCTTACTCTTGTTAAATGCACTAGCAAGGAGTCGGTCGGTAGCTCCTTGTCGTTTGACAGTATCTCACAGCAGTCAACAAAGTAACGTGCAAAGTCCAATCGAGAGGACCGGCCCAGGAGACTGCCATGTCTAGGGACATTATCACGGTAAGCTTCAGAGAGCGGAACAATACTTGAGATACCTGGTAGATTCTTACACAGAATTGATGCAGAGGAGCCCCAACGCAGCGCGAGATCGTCTCTCAAATGCGCAGCATTCTCGACAATTGATCTGGAGGTCGACGTCGAGAGGTCGGGACGCTTCATCAGTTCCAAGTCTTCTGCTAGTACTCGGGCGAGGTGCATAAGGCTGGTATCAGAGGATGTCGCGAAGTAATGTATATCGCTCCTAAATATACAAGAATCAACATTAGTTATCAGAAATATCTCGGAAATGGTTGACTCAGTGTTTCTCACCAAGCGAAAAATACCAGCAATGATTGTAAAATCTCCAAGCTCTTCTCAAGCAGGACCACCACTCGGTGCGCGATATGTTGCCGAAACCATCTCTTGAACACTTCGGTTAGCTCGCCTTCAGGAGGCTTGCATGTCCAAATGATAGTCTCCAAAAGCAGCGGTTTGTCTCTGTATAGTTGTTGTGCATCGCAGACGGGTAACGGAACAAACGGAAATTGAGGAACCATGTCGGACATGTACAGTCGAAGACCCATGTTGGCTTCTTGCAAGATGACTCGATACCCTGGGATGATTGTCAGTATTCCTTGAAGCAACTCGACCGGATCTGCGGCTAGATTTAATGGCGAATAAGAGTCGTCTGAATCAGGCTGCGATGTCGAATGGAAATTGATCGATGGCGATGGATGGCCGTGTGAAGCCTGGCTGTTTCGAGCTGATTGCTCACGGTCACGATTCAGAAGCGACATCATGTCGTCCAACTTCCGTTCAAGCACTTTGGTATGGCTACAGAACCACAGCTCTGGTTAGTCTTGAGTACTTGTGATGATCCTCGAAGACTTCTTATGCTGAATTTCCTCTCTTCCTCTTGACTTACGGCGGCGCTTTAGAGCAGTCAAGATGGTGGCTAGAGCATCTGAACGATGACGCCAAAGGATGAGGCTGATGATGGACAGACTGCGTCCGGGGGCGAGACACCGCGCAGCAACATGTGAAGCCAAGCCGTCCAGTGGATTAGGGGCGTTGGCTATGTCCTATCACCTAGTCCTCACTAGTCTGGACCGAGATTTCGTCCAGGCTCTGCTCGATATTGGCAAGGCGGTTATTGATCACTCTGGATCACATGTAAGAGAGAAACACATGGTTTCCTGTTCTTGTCAAATTCTCAAAACAAAAATTACAAACAATTTGGGTCCGTCCGATGGACGAATGTATTTGATAGATCTAGGCTCGCAAAATGCTCCAGTGATTGCATCTTTTCTTAGATAGTTGTGGTCTTTTGACCATGTCGCCTGTAGTCTATAACACTCTCAATTAGGCCAATGACCTTGTCCGATTTCAGTGATCATCAGATGAGGCTTTGTAGGCAGTTGCAGCCTCATTTGATGATCACCAAAATCGGGCAACGCAACTAGTTATCGAGAATGATATTCGTTTGTAGGAATTGGGATGTGACGCTCGGTATATTGTGTCGTCGGTGTACATTAGTTGTAACCCCCACTGCGCCCCCCCCCCCCCTCCTCCACCGGATCTCATACGTTACATTACTATCAAGGTTCGTCTAGTAATGTATAAATGCTAGATGCCTCTTCAATAGGCTTATGGCCTTGCGTAGATCGATGGCAGTTCTGGCCGTTTCACGGAAACGAATGTTTGCAATACTCCCGCGTGTGTCGGAGGCAATTATCCTTTCGGGGGAATCTCTTCTTGCAGCCGCTATTTGGGCAGGCGTAGCGCTCTTCTTGTGTCGGCTTGTTGTGCTTGTGGCGGTGCTTTCGCATATCTTTGGGCAGGTCGCAGGAATAGCTGCAACTGCTGTGTTGGCATGTATATCTTTTTCGTGAATGGCACGATGATTTGACAGGTTTGTGTCTGGTATCTTCGAATGGCGAAGTTGAGTGGCCCGGCAGTAAGTCGGGTTTGTGTCCAGTACCCTCGATTGGCGAAGTTGGTAGACGCAGTGGCGTGTTGCTATTTTCCTCGAATAGCGAGGATGTTGTCAAGTTCGAGAATTGCTCGAGTCTAAATTCGTCGCGCTCGAAATGGTCGAGCAAAGTTGCGCTTAGACAGCCATCGACATACCCAATGAAATCGTTGTCATGGGAATCGAAAACGTCTGGCGGTCTGGGTGATGTTATACATGTGATATCCCAGGACCTTGACTGCCCCAAGCATCTAGGATGTTGTGCGTGTTGCTCCGGCGCTAGGCCAGTCGGCGGTGGCGGGTCACAATCAAAGTCGACGAGTGTTTCGGGGGAAAGGATTCCACACCAAGCTCTTCGAGGATCGATCGGTTCCCGTCAAAAGGCCGCCGTCTTTCTGACGGACGGCGGCCTCTGAGGGCAGAAATGGTAAACAAGGAGGGTAGCGCCTTTTGCAAGGCAAGAGTGACGGGGTAAAAGTGTCCTATAAAGCAAGAGAGTCTACTTTACAGAATAAAAAAAAGGTGTCTAGATTTTGACAGGCTTTGAAAGAAACGAGAGACTGTGCCTGAGGGGAAAGGTTGGTAGTTAAGTACTGTGTTGTTTGGGCGGACTCAGGATCTACAGGCAAATAAGAGTCCTGTGGCTTGCAGATGCCAAGACCATCTACCACCAATTAGACAGTATGCGGGCTGAATATCACACCGAAGACAGGACTCAAAATTCCAGCTGAAAGAGGATATGGACCACTCAGACACAACACTGCCCTGTCATTGGTGATCTTGTTAGACACACCAACGCAGCACACGCGCGCGGGTTGAGCCGATCAGAGGCTTCGCCGAGATCCTGGTTTCCAGACAAGGCATTTGCTTCGTCGCTGAGTGACACTTGAACTTAATCCCTCATTCTCTTGAGAAACCAGTTGCAAGATCCTGAGTCGCCAACACACCGATGTAACGAAGAAAACATGGCTAGTGCATGCACTTACATAGTACTGCTAGATTTACTACAGATGATCTTGAGATCTTCGCTGGGGATGAATGAAGTTCCGAGATGCATATGATATGTGGTAGTGGGAAGCGTGACGCTAAGACTGAGTCCTCTTAACTCAAGAGGACTCACATTTGCTCGTGGAACATCTATCCGACAAAGAGAAAGAGTCCTTTTGAGTCCTCTTCAACAATGCGGACCGTTTCGAGAGTCCCTGGTATTTAAAACAGCAATTTATTTCGAGTGAGAGATATAAAGCCCAATTCAATGTCGAGAGTAGGTTGGTCAGAAGTGAACTCCCGGGCCACGATACCGTCACATCAACCTTGATACAATCTTAAGCTTCGGTCAACTCCCTAATTGAAAAAATGAATTCGAATTCGAAAGAAAGGTGAAACCAATATTCTCTACAGCAATTCCAATTGGTTGGATTTAGATACTGACGATGTACTGCGTCCAGTCAACCCCGACAAGTCGAAGGCAAGGGACCTAACCTCCCTCTGACCCTTCCCTCCACCCCTGCCTCTTTCAACGCCATTAGTCGTGCATACCCGTTTCCCGAGTCTCTTAACGAAACGATGAATCGATACTTTAGGTCTTTTGACCCATCTTGGATTCCTTTGCCTACGGATGAGGAGAAAGAGACGAAAGAAAAGAGCAAAGCGAATAGTCAAGAGAGCTGCGTTGCTCTAGTAAATGGCGGAAAGCAATGAGAGTCATCGTACTTTCGAATACACCTCTATTTGAATAGACTTCTAAAGTGCCAGTAGTTTTGTTAATATGTGAGCTACGGATTCTCAAACATTACCCTAGAGTTTCATTACATCATGTTGTTGCAAGATGCTATCATAGAGCTTCGTTCCCTCTATCCCAGATGACGCCTCTCCTGTCTCTCTTATTTATCCAAGTGTACTGTTAAAGAAGGGTTAGTTAACTGCAAAAGATAAGCAAAAGTTTCTGGCATGGCATACCTCAAAACAACACGGCTTTCCATCTCCCACCGTGACAGCGAGGAGATTTGCCTCGCTCCAAACAGGCCTGAAGCCAACCTCCTCAATCCTTTCCCACCACTCCGCAAACTGACTGATCTTGGGTCCCTTTTCCGGCACATGAATCTCAATCACCATCTGACCAACTGGAACCTCCTTGCCCTCAAGCTCACCACCTTTCGCATAGTCTCCCAAAAATGACTCCAATGTCGGAAACTCATCCCCTTCGATATCCATTTTGATCAGGTCCACGTAATCGTGCCTCAGTTTCTTCATGATGCTTTTGATTGAGAGAAACTCTGTCTTCTCCTTTTCATCGTAGTAGTCGTACTC